GCAACATGATGAAACCTCTTCTCTACAAAAAATACAAAAATTAGCCAGATGTAGTGGCATACATCTGTAGTCCCAGCTACTTGGGAAGCTGAAGCGGGAAGATGGTTCGAGCCCAGGACGCAAAGGTTGTAGTGAGCCAAGGTCACACTACTGCACTCCAGCCTGGGGCAACAGAGCCAGACCCTGTCTCCAAAAACAAAAACAAAAACAAAAACAAAAAACAAAAAAGGAATAAGAGCGAGCACATAGCATTTTCTTTATACATAAAGAGAGCACATAAAGAGGCAAAGCAAACAAAATTATATTGTAGAAGTTTGGACTTGGGTAAAAACAAGAAAACTTTATAATGGCAAGGGAAAACTGTCAAGAATCAACAAAGAAAATCCATGAACTCTGGACAGAACTTAGGAAAAGCTTCTGATAAGAAAAATAAACCAAAGATTTAGATGCTAAGTGGATCCAGGAAAAACAGGCAACACAAAATATAAATGAAATAAGTCAGAAAAAAGAAAAATAGGCAAACAAGGAAAAACATAAAAGAAACAGAAGATGAGAGTAAATGGCATCTGAATTTTAAGGAGAAGCAACACACGCCAGCCTAGTAGCAATTTACCTGTAAGTATGGCTGTCTCTGGCCTGAGGCCCTAGGAAATTAGATGAGCAGGCCTTTCCTTCTGAATTATAATGGGGACATCAGGTTAAAGCAAACACCAAAAGCAGTCTTCTTCTTCCTCCTCCTCCTTCCCTTTCTCCTTCCCCTCCTCCTCTCTTCCTCCTCCCTTTTTTCTTTGAGAAGGCTGGGATTAGGGGTTATGGGAACTGGGTGGAGTTAGGAGAGGGGGCTCACAACTAGGGGAAAGTTATACGAATTACTGTTAGCAATGGGAAGATTTTTAACTATATATGTGTGTATATATATATAGTTGTATATATACATATATTTCATGTTCACAATGAAAAAAATAGCAACTAAAAACATTTTCCTGCCTTACCTCCTGTGCTCACTGCTCAGTGACCAGCAGCAGCAGCCCAGGTCAGGGCAGTCTCTCACATTCCCAGTTCCCTGGTGATGGACCTCTGATCACTGTAGTACATAGATCCTGTCATATTTATAGGAAACAGTGACTCAGCGACAACACTACTGCCACTGTCCCGCTCAGGCCATCAATCAAATGTCAAATTTGAGGCAGCACTGGCTGGGCCCGCTAGGATGAAGGGTGTGGACACAGAGCAACACACTCTTCTGTTTTCTTGTCTAGGCCCATTTTGTGTGGGCCTAGAATCCAAAACCTGATGGGAGACTCTTCATTTCTTACTGAAATTAAGAGCATCCCAGCCCCTGGTGGCAAGGGGCAAGAGACTGCATTCTTCAGGCCAAGCAGGCGCTCAGCTTCAATTACCCCTGGGCAGTTGGGTTCACTGAATTTGGTGGCTCCTGGCCAGGACTGCATAACAGACACAGAGGCCCAAGGGTTTGCAGAAGACCAGGAGGGGCCCTCCACCTCCTGCCTCATTGTGAGGCCCAGGTTTCCAGCCAGGCCGAGTGTGCTGCTGCCCTCAGGGACCCACTGCAGAGGAGGAACTTGGGTAGCGCCCCACACCATGGAAAGGAGAGTCTTTAACTAAGCCACTGCCAAACACCATTACCTTAGGGAAGGCGCTTTATGAGACCTCAACCTGGGCAGCCAAGAGGCCACGAGATGGCAGCAGAGGACACAGCCCTGGACAAGAAACCTGAGCCATCTTGCCAAAAGGCAGATTCAGAAATGGAAAAGAGTTCATTTGTGAAATATCGTCAGTTGTCTATATTCATGTATTAAAAGCCAGAATAAATGACAGAATTTCAAAGAAATGAGGGTAAAATGTATTCACATGGAGAATTTCCCAACCACCAATGTGCCACTGCTGCATATGAAGCCACATATCATGAACTGGATTTCTTTAATGTTTAAAAGAATAGATAGGGTTTACGGCCTTTAAAACCTGTTGTCAGCGGAAACCTTGTCAGTTTCTTCTTTTGGTGAAGTTCCCATTCAAGTAAAATGAGTGACCTCCACAGAGGCTGCCAAACTGATGAAGAAAGAAGCAGATACAGTGGTTGCTGGGAATCACTGCAGCAAAGCAGAATGCTGTCATTGGAGCAGCCCGGGACTCTGGCAATAGGCAGTGTGGAGGGGGAATAATGAGGAACACAGGACAAGTTTCAAATAGTCTTTGCTTGCAGCTGGCAGAGGATAATGCACAGGAAAGCGGCATTAGTAGCACTGGAACTAAATCCCAAATCTGACTTCTCATCTACTGCGCCTTCCATTGTTACATATTCCCACCTCCCCCACTCCTCAGTTGTGACTAACAAATATGTCTTCAGACCTTGCAAAATATCCTCTAGGGAACAAAATGACCCTTCTCTGAGAGCCAATGCCCTAGAGGGATATGATGAAAAAGGTTTTATCAGAAAGGTTTTAAGAATTTAATGTTTAATCTAAGACTCTTAGACTTTGCAAGGTCTACATGAACTGTAACATATATCCAAAACCTGAATTCCTACTATGTTTATCTAATGCAGACTGATGATTGAAGAACTATAGCTGAACTGGCTCTTGAGTTTTAAGGAATTATCATTTAAACGACTTCTTACCTCTACAGGCAATTTATTTTCAACCCCTGAAGTAGTTTATAGTTTTAAAGTACTTTTCCTTGTGTGATTTTATTTTAGCCTTGATACTCCAGTAAGGTAGAGAGAATAAATATTATTACCATAACCTCCAAGTGAACAAAATGTAGTTCAGAGAGGTCTGACTTGCCCAAGCAATAGAATTAGAATCTAGGTTTCCTGAGTCCTAGTCCTTTTGAGGAAAAATTTCTAGTAAAAACTTAGGGGTTCATGAAACCAAACCAAAGAAGTAGGTATGGGCATAACTGCTGGAACAGATAAATTTCAACTGCTAAGCTGTTCAAAAATCACCACAAACTATTAATTCCATTTCTTTTTTTCTTTTGAGACAGAGTCTCACTTTGTCTCCCAGGCTGGAGTGCAGTGGTGTGATCTTGGCTCACTGCAACCTCTGCTTCCTGGGTTCAAGCAATTCTCCTGCCTCAAACTCTCGAGTAACTGGGATTACAGGCACCCACCACTATGCCGGCCTAATTTTTGTAATTTTAGTAGAGACGGCCACCATATTGGTCAAGCTGGTCTCGAACTCCTGACCTCAGGTGATCCATCCATCTTGGTCTCCCAAAGTGCTGGGATTACAGGCGTGAACCTCCCAGCCCCGCCAACTATGTTTCTTTTAATGAAGTATTTCTGCTTCCCCTCTCCTTGCAGGCATTGCCCTTCTGGCCTTCCTTAAGTTGGGTGTGGCTATATGACTTACTTTGGCCATTGAATGGGTGGAAGTGACATGAATGTATCACTTCACGGCAGCATTTAAGAGTCCATGAACAATTCTTCATGCTTACTTCCATTATGAGGGTGGGGGCGGGTGGGTAACTTTAACCTTCATAGTGACAGGGTAGGATCTCAAAATGGTGGCGCTCCATGAGCTTGGGTACCTTAAACATTTGCAATGAACAGAACCCCTTGCCAGTCTACTTTGGACACGGAGTATGAGAAACAAACCTTTGTGGTTTTAAGCCACTGTGGTTTTGGCATTTACCACAGCAGAGCTTAGCCTAATCTGACTGATAGAGGTTAATTTCCACCGTCATCAAGCTTCTCTAGGAACTAGAATGCAATATCTAATCTCATCACATCACTAAAACCTGGAAAACAGAACAAATTCTTAATTTTCTTCCCTCAGCTTCCTCATCTACCACCACCTTCTGACTTTCAAGAAAATTATTTTCTCAGCCCCGCACACATGAGCTCTCCATTATTCTAGCAGTTACACTAGGGGAGAGGAAGAAATGCAGAAGGCCTAGATCTTTTCTCCATTCCAGAGCCTGATCCCAGAACTGTCCCCACCCACTAGTACTTACAACCTTGTCATAGGAAGATTATTACCACTCTTTCAAGGTGTCACAAACAGAAAGGAGCTGCAGCGGGCGCCACTGCAATGTCAAGGCAAGGCAGCCAGGCTGCGCTCTATCCTCACTGGTGCCTGGCCCTGGCTAGGCCGGGAGAAGCAGCATTCTCTAGGGAAAGAAGCCTTCTCAAGTGGGAACAAAAATGAGTGTGAGGCCCACAGCCATCCCGGGCACTATGTGAATTTGGGGTGAGTTCTCTTGGTACACTCCAGCTCTGGTCAATTTCTAGTTTCTAGCGGCTAGCAAGCCGCCCAGCTGCTGCTGCTACTGGGACTCCCAGTTCTCCTGGGCTTTTCCCAAGCCCAAGCGAGCCTGTTATCTTTGCACACTTGCAAAGGTCGTAAACGGTGGGGGTTGAACGCAGCCAGAACTTCAGCAACCCGACCGCAGCGGAGATCAAAGGTCGGCGGGTCAGCCCAGAGGCCGAGCCTGCGCAGTCCCGCTCCCGCGTTGGAGATAAAGGGTGGCGGCAGCGCGGGCTCGTTACATCGGCGTGCTCGCAAGAGGCGGGAAAGCGTTAGGCAGAGACGCAGGTCGCAGCGTCCCTCCCTCTGCCTGCCCTATCTACCCGCCTGCCCAGCGAGCCTGTCTTCAGCGCCCAGGCCCTAGGGGAGGGGACGAGAAAGGCCCCGCGCTTCTGACTCATCATCTCCAACCCCTTTCTCGCGCGCGCTCCAAGTCTCAGGACTTCGGACCTGGGCCCTCCTGCGAGGGGGTGCGGCGACAGCATCTGGGAAGCCCCAGCTCTGCCAAGCGTCAGCTCCGAGCCCTCGCCAGTCTCTGAAGCTGCCAGCGCAGGGCTGGGGACCCAGAGCCAGCTCTCTATTGCAGTGGCTGGGGGAGCGGCACGCCAGTGCAGGACCGCCCGCCCGGCTCCTCCCCGAACGCGGGGCCAGTGGTCGCGTCCGAGAAAGCGCTAGGCTAGGCCCCGACTTCCCCGCCTCGCGTCACTCAGCACATCCACAGCGCCCCTACCGCGGAGAGAAGGCTCTTTATTTCCCAGCCGGTCACGGGCTAGCGGGGCATCCTGGGACTTGTAGTCTCCGCTGCAGTAGAAAAGAGACGGATCGAAAGGGGAACTGGGGCACTCCTGAATTGGATTCAGGGAGTTGGCGTGTGCAGGGTCCGGGATTTGGAGTGGATGGGATTATGAAAAGTGGACAGAAAAAAAGAGTGAGATGAGGCAGATGTGAAGCTGTATGGGGAGGTGACAGGGAGGGAGGATATGGATGGAAGGGAGAAAGCAGCTTTTCAAGGTGATAGGTGAGGATATATTCTCGTCCAGGTATATCTTCCCCTAACAGGGAAGGAACGCAAAAAGGGCCTGCTCTGAGTGAAAACTGAAGGCATTCCCGGACTTCCTGTTGGACTCAAAGGATCCCAGCAAGCTTCTGAGTTTGGTGGGGTGGGGCAGGAATGTCTGGAGAGCATTCCCTCAGGGTGGAAGGAGAGCAGCACGTGTCTGTTCCCGCTGTCCCGCCCTCTCATTTGCTCCTGTGCTGGCCACCGTGGGACCATTCTCCAAACCAGGAACCTCTTCCAACTCAGAGAAGCCCTGAAAACCAGAAACAGGTGTGAGCAAATTGTAGAGGTGAGAAAGGAGAAACCCCAGACAGAAACAACTGCTTCCTCCTGCCCAATTTTTTATCCTATTTCCCATAGTCCTGCCAATATTTAGGCAGCTTCCTAATGCTTTCCCACTCTTTTAACCTCAATCATTTGGGTTCCCAATTCCCTCTTACCCACCATTAGGGGAGAAATGTCCAAAGCCAGAGAAAGCCAATCAGTTTCATTCCAGGACCTCTTTTCTCTCTTGCCCCATTGTTTTCCGTTAAATGCCACTGACCAGGATAGCCAGTGGAAAAATTAGTTGGCAGCTAGCTATTCATGCTTTCTTCCCTGCCCCCATACCTCCTGCAGCTCCTGGTAGTGCAGACTCTGGCTCCTGCAGCATCCTGGTTTCCTCTGGCTCAGCAAGAATAGGGCGTGCACTGAGACCAGCACTCCCCCTAGGGTGAAGGCCTCAGCACTGAGCTCCAGCACCAGCAAGCCAGCATGCTGCAGGTAGACAAGGCTGAGAATGCAGGGACCCCGCACCTGTTCGCCCCTGCCCTTTTCCCTTTTCACCTCCTCTTGCCTCCTCATCCTCCCACCTTCTCCTTCATTCACCAGTACCTGGGAGGAGGCAGTTGGGGCAGGCCCCAAGGCTGTCTTCATCACCTCGACCACCACCACGATGAAACCCAAGATCAAGTTGAAGGTGTTGAATATCATCATGGCCCGCACCTGCCAGTGAGCCAGCTCAGCCCTGCCCAGCCTAGGGGAGTCATTCCAACCTCAATCCCCACTTGCAGCCTAGCTGAAGACAAAACTCAGCTTCGGTTTCTCAGCCTCCAAACAGGGCCATAAGCCCTCTAACTTTTTTGCTTTCCCTCCTCAGTCATTGAGGCCAGTGAGTGGTGACAGCTGAGAGGATGAGTCAACACTTAGCCACTTACTTCCTAGGCTGAGCGTTGTAGGTGTCTGTTTTAGGGAATGGGGGGACAGTGCTGCGTTCTCTTCCTTCTCACCTTCCAGAGGCGGGGTGCTCTGCGAAGCTCTAGGGTGACAGTCCCAGTGAGGAGACCCTGAATGGTGAGAGGGGCAAGTGTTGAGCTCTGGTCCCATTAGGAAGGGGCCCTGGGACCTTCCACCCTCCCTTGTGGTGGGTCTTACTGAGGCTCCAGGCCCAAGAGGCAGCGCTGTGGCCATGTGACATTCAGAGTTCAGGCAGGCGACTGAGACAGCAAGGGGCACCACAACCACTGCCAGCCATAGCTGACTCACCTGGGGTAAGGGCAGGGTAATTGAGGAGAAACTGTCGGGGATTCCCTTCCCTTCTCATAACTCCTACCTCTTTAGAGATCAGGAAATGGGATTGAATGGAGGGTAGAGGAAAGCAGTCAACCCAGAGCAAGAAAGGAAGTGATCATTAAAAAATAAGTATCATTTAATTTTTTCTGCCTCATATTGTAGTTTAGTTACTTACCTGTATGTTTTCCCCCACAAGATGGAAGCTACTTGGAGATTAAGGGTCTTGCCTTGTTTATTTCTATGTTTTCCTCTACCCTCCTCCCATTCAGAACCTAGCACAGTTTCTGGCACATGGTAGGTGCTCACTTAACATGGATGGATGGATGGATGGAATTGAATTGGGTAGAAGTGGACATGCTGAGACTTGGGATGGGACCTGTCCTCACCGCCAGCACCAAGAGGTGCCCACTCTGCCTGTGCCTCGCCCAATGTTGTAGCTTTTCCAGACGGAGGCTGTGTCTCTCCTGCTCTTGCTGACCAGCTCTATCTTCCATGGCTCCTTTGCCCACAAGAATTAGGTGCTTCCTAGGCTGGGAAAAATACATTATAGGTTCCATCTATTAGGAGACAGGACATGCAACAACATATCTTTCAGTTATACCTCTGCCCACTCCCAATATCCAGGGATTTGAGGTCCAGGTCCTCACACCTACCTAGTCTGAAGCAGTTAACTCCAAAGGGATGGGACCCAGCTGGGTCTTAGGTCTCCTAAGGGGCTTGATAGCTCAGAGCAGACGACAAACTTGTCCTGGCAGAGAAAGGCTGTCAGGGATGGGGTGTGGTGGGGCAAAGGTTTCTATGAAGGCCTAAGGATCTAGGGAGTGGCCCTGGGTAGATACCGGCCTCAGTTCACAAGATGTCTAGCCTGGCCTCACTCTGTTCCCATTTCCCATTACCCGCGTTTCTGCCCATCCTGGGTTCCTTTTCTGGTTTCACTTACTTCATTCCCATGGACACTATCACTCTGGACCTCAATTCCCCCTCATTTCCATATGATCTTACTTCTTCCTTTGGCTTCCTCCTCAAATTATTTGTCCTTCCTTAGAGATCCTACTTTCTGTCTGGATTGGTCCCCTGTCATTACTACTTGAAGCTTTGCTCCCAGACCAGGTAAGGTTAAATTCCAGTGGCTTTCTTGCCTCTCACTTTCTGGACAGTCTCCCTTCCCTTCTTTCTTGAAGGTTTTACTCTGAATTGAACACTGACTAAATGGATGGGGGGACTCTGTTTATAGTGGGGACTGTTTTTGATTCAATGATAACCTGCAACTGGATATATATATATACACACACACATATATATGTATACATAAGATGGTCCTCAAATAGTGAGTCTTGGAAGGATGCTGTTGCAACAATTAATATTTTTGAGAGAGAAGGTGCCTCATAGCCAGACAGACCTGGACTGGAATCTTAGCTCTGCTGCTTCTCCATCTGTGTGATCTTGGATACATTATTATTATTGTTATTATTATTATGTTATTGAGACAGGGGCTCACTGTCACCCAGGCTGGAATGCAGTGGCATGATCATGGCTCACTGTAGCCTACACATTCTGGGCTCAAATAATCATCCTGCCTCAGCCTCCCAAGTAGCTGGGATCACAGGCACATGCCACCATGTCTGGCTAATTTTTAAATTTTTTGTAGAGACAGGGTCTTACAGTGTTGCCTAAGCTGGTCTCAAACTCCTGGGCTCAAGTGATCTCTCCTTGGCCTCCCAAACTGCTGGGATTACAGGTGTGAGCCACTGTGTGTGTCCTGATAGATACGTTTTTCTACCTATTCGAACCTCAGTTTGTTCACTGATAAAAGGGGGCTAACAATATGACTATGAAGAGTTGTTGATTCAGGGTGGGTGCTTACTATTAGTGGTGCTGATGAGGTCAAACTGATAAGCCTGATGCCCATACACTAAAGGTGTTATTCAGAAGGTGAGCTGAGCTGGGGACACATTTCTACAGTCAGAAGCACAACCAGCTGGGCCCAAATATATTCTGTAGATCAAAACAAATCCCAGGTCTACCTGGGTGCCCTTGGCAAGTTGCTTAATCTCTCTGTTCCCTTATCTATAAAAGGAAGTTAATAATACCAGTCTCAAGGGGTTGCTTTCAGCATGGAAGAGAGCTTAGCCCAGTATCTGGCACACAAGTGCTCAATGTTAGTGGCTATGATCATCATCACTATTACTTCTTGTTGTTGATGGTAAGAGGAGACTGCGCCAGAAGACTCTAGAAGTTAGTAGAGGAGGCATGGTCCTGGGAGGCAAGTGATCTTTTGTAAGCCACTCCTGCCCCATCAGTGCTGTGCCAACATCGGCGGGGCACTGTATCTACTTTTTTCTTTCCCGGGGAGTGGGAGTCACGTTTTAAAGAGATCCAGAAAACTGTTGTGTGTTTACTCCTCCTCAATTCCCATGTGCATTGATTTTATTTGGTGGCGATGTGAGATGTTGGGCTTGCACTGAGGATCCCTGAGCCTGCAGGCCACTGGAGAAAGAGACTTCCTGAAGCCTAATTTTTCTTACTTGTAAATGGGGACAATTTTATTATAGAGGGTTATTGGAAAGATTATAAACTATTAGATAGGTGAACAGGCATTCGGTAAATATTGAATAAATCTGAGTATACTACTTACTAGTTTGTAGTCTAGACTACAATCGCCTGGAAGGAAGGTACCACTTCTCTCTCATCCCTCACAGCGCTGAGCTCAGTGCCTGGCACTTAGTAAGCACTCAGTAAATATTTGTTGTATTGAAGAGCCATTAAAGTGACTTGAGGGATGGAAAATAGAATTCGAGAGGAAGGAGCAGGAATTGTTTATCAAGAACGGAAAGGACCGAAGAGTAACTTTAATAATGTGTCTTATACGGCCGACATTAACTATCTCTATAATCGCCCCTCCTCCTCCCCCAAAAGAGAGACAGAAATTGTAAGGGAGAGGCTTTGAGATAAAACCCCAGGAAGAACTTCCCGAGTCTGTGCATGTTGGGGCAGAAAGAGCGGCAGAGCCAACTCCTTCCCTGGTATGTCCGGGTTTAGGGAGGGAGGGGCAGTGCTGCTTGGAGGCTGGGGGAAGGACGAGATGACCTTTCAAAATCTCTTCCAGTCTCCTGTTGGAATCCTCTGTGCGCCCCACCCCCGCTCCCTCCCTTACTCCCTCCGACAGCGCCCCCCGTCTCCAAACCGTCCGCACCCCGCCCCTGGCGGCCGCCTCTCGCGGCTCCCGGGGTCCCCAGCTCCCTGTCCCCGGAGCCAGAGCCCGGCTCCCGCGCGGCTCCCAGCCCCGCCGCGCCGCCCCCCGCATGCTAATGGCCGGGCCGCCTCCCGCCGCACACAATGCGGGCCAGGGCCGGGGGCGGGGGACCGGGGAGGGGGCGGGGGCCGGGCCGGGGGCGGGGGGGCCGGGGCCCGGCGCATCTCCCCCGGCCCCACGTAACGCTGACGCCCGCGCCGCCGGCCCGCCGCCCGCCGCCGCCGCCGCCGCCGCCGCCCGCTCCGCCGCCGCCCGCCCGGGGCTCGTGAGTAGCCGCTCCCCCCACTCCCGGGCCCCCCCGTCCGCCACCCGGCCCCCGCCCCCGGCCCCCTCCCCCCCTCCCGGAGGGGGGGCCCGCTCAGCGCGCCCGGCTCGGAGCAGGTGCAGGGGGCGGGGGCGGGGGAGGGGCGCCGGCTCGGCCCCAAGCAAACTTCGCCCAGAGCTCCTGGGGGGGCGGGGTGGGGGTGGCGGCCTCGGAAGCCTGGAGAGCTGGGGGGCCCCAAGGGAGGGGGGGCCAGGTGGAGGAGCTGGGGGAGCAGACACCAAAGGGAAGGGCCAACGGGGGGGATGTGGCGGGGGAGGTGGCGGGTGTCTTTGTAGGGGCCCGAAGGCAGGGCGCGAGGGGCCTGGGGGTGAGGGGCGGCAGAGCCGCGAGCCTGAGTGGATGTGCACCCCTCAACCCCCGGCCCAGGTAGGGCTGGTGGGGGAGGGGAAAGGAGCCCAAACTCTCCGGGAGCACGGGGTGGCGGGGGAGGGGAGAGGATGGGGGGTGCTTCCCTCTTTGCGTCCCAAACAAAGTGTCACAAAGAGCTCGGCCCGCGGCAGCAGCGGAGGCGGCTGCAACTCAGCTTTTGTTCTCCTGGCCGGGGGTAGCTGAGCCTTGGCCTCCCTATCTCCCAACCCTGCCCCCCATCATCCTTCTGGCTTATCTTCCTGGGGAGGGGTCTGAGGTGCTGCTGGAAAAACCTCTCGGGCAGGATTGCAGGTCCTACCCTACTTAGCAATCTATTTCTGGGAGGGGGATTTTCCCAGAGGCTCTCTTGATCACCCCTACGTCCCAGTCTGAGGACTGAGGCTCACGTGGGTGCTAATACTGACTTTTCTAGGGTCAGCTCTACTTAAGGGGACTTAGGGCTGTCTACATGCCCCCCGTTCCCAAACCCAGGTCCTCCAGAACTTTCAAAATCAAAATCGGGGTTGCGTTAGGACATGCCTCTGGGATAAGATTCCCCATAGTGGGATGGCAGCAGGTGAGCAGGTGTGCCTTCCTGTTGCTTCCTGCTGTACCTTTGGAGTCCATGGCTGAGGTTCCATGTCTCCAGCTCAGGAGAGTGAGGACACAGGGAAGGAGGCTTTATCAAGAACTCAGTCTAAAAAGGCTGGCGAGCTGCAGAGTGGAGTGGGTTTGGAGGAGCTATCTGAGCAGTGAGGTTCAGAGGGCCATGCAGAGGAGACCATAAAAGTGAACTACTGGTGTGTGTGTGTGATCAAGGTAGTCTTGACTGTAGACCGCCCTAGAAGCTCCCTTTCCTTTTAACCTCATCTAGTGCAGTGGTAATCATAATTGTTAGCAGATTCGGGAGGTGTAGGATTCTCAAGAGGGAAAACTGTCGTGTTAGACGTGACCAGAGGCAGTTACAACTGGACCCCAGAAGTCCTGAACCCGTGCTCCTTACACTTTGACCCTAAAAACTTTTGAATCACAAGACTTGAGGGACAGTCTTTGTGTTCCATTTAGCAAATACTTCTATGTACCTGTCCTTGTTGTTTCTAAGTCTTTTCACCAACCATTCCATCCTTCTCTACTGAGTAAGGTTTAGTGATCCACACCCACTTCCCTACCAGCTGCCCCAGCATGTAAGGATAATTGGCCTGTTGCTTTCGAAAGGTTTCTGATACCTATCCCTGGCCCTTCATCCTTACAGAATCCAAATAAGGGCAAGATAACCCCTGATTCCCAGTGGGGGTGGAAAGTAGGTCAGTGCTGCTGTCTGGCCAAGTCTCGGGGATGGTGTTTAAGGCCTTACTATAGAAAACTCTGTGATTATTGTCCAGGGCAATATATGCATGACCTCAGTTCCAAGGCAGTTCATAGTATCCCAGTCCCTGTCAGTTCTTTCCCCTACTGAGAAAAAATCATGGGATCAGGTATCTGGAACCTGGTTTGATATGGAGATGATTCAGGAGATCTTGATTGGGCCTAGGAAGGTATCTCAGTGAGTTTTGTTGATTTTAGGCCACCTTCTGGGGAAACTTTCCCTGCTGGGGAATTCAGCTTCAGTTTGGGCCTTCTTGTATATCACTCTATTTCTGTTCTGGAAACTGCTATGTGCAAAGTGGTTTATTGTTGTTTTGTTTTGGGATAGGAAGCTTTGCCCTATTCCCACTCTTCTTGCCTCAGATATGAGGCCAGCTTCCTATGAGATTTTGCTGGCTATCCTACAGACAGTTTTATGGGCCCTAGAATCTTCTCAGAATGAGAGTATGTGCCCATAGGTTAGTCAGCTATGACCATGCAGTATTCCCAGCCCCCCCGCCTCCACCATCTGCTTCCTCTGAATATACCAGATTGGCTGTACACCAGGATGTTCCGGGAATCCCCAGGAGAGCAACAGAATGTGATGGACCCAGATATGATGCCTCAGTAACTCATTCCAGGATGTACAAACTGTAACTGTCAGGATGCTCCTTATAGCTAATTAAAATTCTTCTAGTTACATCTATTTTCTATTAGCTTTTTCTATTTTCAGTGACATCTAAAAGGCCAAAATAATCCCTCTGGTACCACTGGGTTTTTTTCTATGGTTTTCAGATAGGAACGAAAAAAAAATGCTCTAGCTTTTCTGTGTTGTATCTGTGATGCTAAAATGGCAAAGAGCCCCTCTAGCACCTCATAGCTCTATCTATGGTACTGAGGTGGCCCAAGTGGCTTCTGTGGTAGCCCACTGCACTCTCCATGGTACTGAAGGGATGACCATTTGTTTTAACATCTCTCTGGGGTCCAAAAGAGTTCTATGACTTAGAACCACAAACTTTTTTTGAGCAGGAAGGGACTAACAATATAAATTAGTCCAATCCCCTTATTTTACTGATGAGTAAACTGGGAGGTTAAGTGATTTAGTAAGGGTTGTAGGGTTATCAATGTTCAGACTAGGCCTACAATAGCCTTGTACCCCTCAGTCCTATTCTAATTCACCTTTTGTGGCACTATTCAATAAGCCTAGCTAGGCTCTTAGTCCCAGGAAAGGATCCAGAGGATGAGAGTGGGTGCCCTAATTTGAAGCTACAGAAATACACATATTAAGTGATAGTGGAGGTCGTCTAGTGACCCTTGGACAAGGACACTTTGTTAATTATAATAACTGCTAATAATAATCCTATAGCCCAGATTCCACATGTAACAGGTACCTGCCCCTTCATGGAGTTTTACCATATCCACTAAATGTCAAAAATTAAAGAAGCCTTGGACCTCCAGAGCCTTTTCTCTCTGCTGACAGGCAGGTTGACTCCTGGCCCAGTTCTTTTCTATTAAAGATCCTTAGGCAAAGTAGTGCTTGCATCTTTTTCTTTCTCAGTAACCCATTTCAGTTTCGTGATGCCTATTGTAAGGAAGTTCTTTATATCTCAAATATTCTTTCTTAGACAAAAAAAAAAAAAAAAAATATGGTTAGGCCCACATTCATTTAGCCTTGACCAGATACCGTTCTCTATATGAGGCAGAAAGGTAGACTAGATGACTCCTGGTCATCTTCCCAGGCCTATTTCCATGAATCTTGATTCTGGGGTTTCTTCTAAGTCCTCATGCTAAACTCCTCTGCAGCTTAGGATCAGCACCCCCCCCCCCCCCCCCCCCCATCCTCTTCCTCTCAATGATCTCCTTCCCCAGCACTGGAGCTCTGCAAGTCCCAGGCCTAGGGAATTTTAGCCTGGAGAATTTTAACCCCTTCCTGCTCAGAGCATGTGCTGAGTCCCTATCTGTGCAGATGGCCCAGCCCCGCCCCCCGTCCCTCACTCCAGCCTCTTGAGCTCAGAGCCAGTGTAATCCTCCTCTTGTGTGAGGGAGCCTCTCCCCTGCAGAGAGGAGGAAAGCCTGCCTCGGAACAGCCCTGGACAAAGGGGCTCAGATGCCCCATCATACTGCAGGCTCCAAGGTTTGAAACAAGGGGATGAATCCTATACGGTATTTGCAGTTTTTAGCCCCTTCCCCAGGCTAGCTGTGCCCCTTAACTTCCACTCCTCCCCCAACTCTGTCTTCATTCCCTCTCCCTCTGGCTCCCTCCCCCTCATGCCCCTCCCCCTCTGTCTGTCTTCAGACTCTGCTGCTGGGAGGTGTTTCTCTCCCATGCATGAATGAGTCTCTGTAATGAATGGAAATGAATGGATCAGGAATCCAGGCGGAGGGAGGGAGAATGAGGGGGGGAAAGACAGAAAGACAGGGTAAGGGCAGAAGGAAGCACTGTGGAACCTAGAAGGATGTTTGGCTGGCTGGTCAGTTAGGGGTCTCAGAGCAACTGATCCCATTTGGATAACTGGGGAGCATGGCAAGCCCACCCCATTTGCTCACCACACTGCATAGCCCAACCTACATGGGAGAGGGGCATACTGTGATGGTCTTCCCCACCGCCAGGGGGTGGGGTGGTAGTTGTGATTGTTCTGGACCATGCATTTAAAATGTAGAATTTCGGGAAGAAATCTGGATTATTTGGGAGGCTTGTAGGCTTGGCAAATCAAGAGGTACAGTTTTTGAGTACAGCAGCCCCTTCGTGCCTCAAGATGCAAGTAGGGAGAAGGGATTGGTTTTGGGAATACAGAGTGCTGAGAGTCTGGGGGTAGGGAGTGACTTTACTGCTGAAAACTAGGGCTCATCTTTTCCTCCAAATCTGTCTTTCTTGCTTTAGCTCCACAGCACCTGTTGCCTTCATTAGCAGCTTTTCCTCCTCTTCCCTGCACTCCCCAGAACCAAAGAATGTGAAGGGGGTCCATGGAGGTGAGTGAAGCTCTGGCTTCAACCTACAAGTACCTACAACTGTATACTCCTTCTCCTGCCTACCTGTCTCTCTCTTTGACCTCCCATTATTAGAAGTTAACTCCTTGGTCCTGACATCTCGATTCCCATACACCCCACCCCCAGTTTCCCGAGGTGAGTAGCACTGTGTGTTCCTAGTTCAGGCCCCAGTCCACCCTCCCTCGTGTTGTCCTGGCCCTCAAGGTGACGCCCTTTCTTCCTTTACAGCTCTACCTTCACCCTTTGCTCTACGCAGATCTTTCTCCACAGGGCTCACGTCCCCGCGCCCCGAGCGGCCACTTAGCGCCGTCGCCGCCGGCTTTCGACGGCGAGCTGGATTTGCAGCGATACTCCAACGGGCCAGCCGTGAGCGCAGGGTCGCCTGGGATGGGAGCGGTGAGCTGGTCTGAGAGTCGTGCAGGCGAACGGCGCTTCCCCTGCCCTGTATGCGGGAAGCGCTTCCGCTTCAACTCTATCCTGGCTTTGCACCTGCGGGCGCACCCAGGCGCCCAGGCCTTCCAGTGCCCACACTGCGGCCACCGCGCGGCGCAGCGGGCTCTGCTGCGCTCGCACCTGCGCACACACCAACCCGAGCGCCCACGTAGTCCTGCTGCACGCCTGTTGCTGGAGTTGGAAGAGCGCGCGCTACTACGCGAGGCTCGACTGGGGAGAGCCCGAAGCTCAGGGGGCATGCAGGCCACCGCTGCCACTGAGGGCTTGGCGCGGCCCCAGGCTCCTTCATCGTCCGCCTTCCGTTGCCCCTACTGCAAAGGCAAGTTTCGCACCTCGGCGGAGCGCGAACGCCACCTGCACATCCTGCACAGGCCCTGGAAGTGCGGCCTGTGCAGTTTCGGCTCCAGCCAGGAGGAGGAGCTGCTGCACCACAGCCTGACGGCCCACGGGGCGCCCGAGCGCCCCCTGGCGGCCACCACCGCTGCGCCTCCGCCTCCGCCTCCGCCTCCGCCTCAGCCTCAGCCTCCACCCCAGCCCGAAACTAGATCAGTCCCGGAGCCGGAGCCCGAGCCCGAACGTGAGGCAACCCCGACCCCAGCTCCTGTCGCTCCCGAGGAGCCCCCAGCACCTCCGGAGTTCCGCTGCCAAGTGTGCGGCCAGAGCTTTACACAGTCTTGGTTTCTCAAGGGCCACATGCGTAAGCACAAGGCCTCCTTCGATCATGCGTGTCCGGTGTGCGGCCGCTGCTTCAAGGAGCCCTGGTTCCTTAAGAACCACATGAAGGTGCACGCCAGCAAGCTGGGCCCACTGCGTGCCCCGGGGCCTGGCTCCGGGCCTGCCCGGGCGCCGCAGCCTCCTGACCTCGGCCTGCTGGCCTATGAGCCGTTGGGCCCAGCGCTCCTCTTGGCCCCGGCGCCCACCCCGGCCGAGCGCCGTGAGCCCCCGAGCCTCTTGGGCTACCTGAGCCTGCGGGCTGGCGAGGGCCGGCCCAACGGCGAGGGTGCTGAGCCTGGGCCCGGCCGCAGCTTCGGAGGCTTCCGCCCGCTGTCCTCTGCTCTCCCGGCCCGGGCGCGCCGGCACCGTGCGGAGGAGCCGGAGGAAGAAGAGGAGGTGGTGGAGGCCGAGGAGGAGACCTGGGCCCGGGGCAGGTCGCTGGGCCCTCTGGCTTCCCTGCATCCGCGCCCGGGTGAGGGACCGGGGCACTCCGCCCCTGCTGCTGGGGCCCCGGCAAGATCGACCAGCACGCAGGGTATGTGGGGACCCTCCGCTCTCCGGGTCCGCTGCGTCCTCTGACTCTTACGCCGCCACTCCCCCATAGCTTCCTTTTTAAAATAACTTATCTTTTATTTCTTCGGAGTTGTTTTGTTTTGTTTTGTTTTGTTTTTTCCTGGAGGCTTTGCCATCATTTGAGAACACTTGACTCTTTAGTCACAACAAATCTAACCCCTCAGACTTTTGTTTCCTTCTGGACTCCGAGGGGAAGCAGCCCGATGGGGTGGGTGTGGGGTGGGTGCGCGGGACCTGCACAGGGTGTAGCCCCGCTGACCTCCTCTTCATATATGTGTTGCAGAAGAGAACGGGCTGTTGGTTGGAGGGACCCGGCCTGAAGGGGGCCGGGGCGCCACCGGCAAGGATTGTCCCTTCTGCGGAAAATCTTTCCGCTCAGCGCATCACCTCAAAGTGCATCTGCGAGTGCACACAGGTGAGGGAGGCAGCTTCCGGCGTGGGGAGGGGACTGGGGGGCGGCCAGAAAGGCGAGGGCTCCCGAAACACCGGGAGGTGAAGTCTGTTCCGAAGCCTTCAGTTCAGCTGGATGAGATCACTTGGGAAATGCTCCTTTATTCAAAGTGGGTGGGAGACGCAGTGCCCTTTCTTGGTTCTGAGAATGAGGTCTCTAAATTGGGCGAAATTCGGGTGGGTGCGTGCAGTGATCGTGACCCCGTAACCCTATTGCACCCACTTTCCCCAGGCGAGCGGCCCTACAAGTGTCCGCACTGCGACTACGCGGGCACCCAGTCCGGCTCGCTCAAGTATCACCTACAGCGCCACCACCGGGAGCAGAGGAGCGGGGCCGGCCCCGGGCCACCCCCGGAACCACCGCCTCCTTCCCAGCGGGGTTCAGCCCCGCAATCTGGAGCCAAGCCGTCTCCACAGCCTGCGACCTGGGTGGAGGGTGCCTCAAGCCCCCGGCCTCCTTCTAGCGGTGCTGGGCCGGGGTCCCGTCGGAAGCCCGCCAGCCCTGGGAGGACCCTGCGCAACGGGCGAGGTGGTGAGGCCGAACCCCTGGACCTGTCCTTGCGGGCAGGGCCAGGAGGCGAGGCCGGGCCGGGGGGTGCCCTCCACCGCTGCCTCTTCTGCCCTTTCGCCACTGGAGCCCCAGAGCTCATGGCCTTGCACCTTCAAGTGCACCACAGCCGCCGGGCTAGGGGCCGCCGGCCACCCCAGGCTGACGCGTCCTCGCCCTATGCCCGAGTACCATCAGGAGAGACCCCTCCCAGTCCTTCGCAGGAAGGGGAGGAGGGCTCCGGGCTGTCCAGACCCGGAGAGGCAGGGCTAGGGGGGCAAGAACGGTAGTGAGCCCTCAGGGGCGATTAGCTTAGTGAGCTTACCCCGCCGGAGCGGGGGAGCGCTAGAGGTAGTTGGGTAGAGAAGCCAGCAGGGGGCAGCGTGGGACCCATATCCCAGCCCCAGGCGGACCGGAGGTGGAAGGGGCGGCGGGCGTAGGAGGGTGGGCTGGCGGTACCCACCCAGCCCAAGGGAGTCACAGTGCCTTAGAAGTGGCAGAGGTGAGGGTCAAAGAACGGGGTCCCTGGGCTGGCAGAGAGGGTTTGTGTCCCTGTTGAGGAGCCACTCTGCCAGTCTGCTGGTCCATAGGCGTGAGAGTTTATTTTTGTACAAGGGGTGAGGGTGGGGAGCACTGTACCCTTCTAGCCCCATCAGGGGCCCTGTAGACGTCGCTATTTTTGGTACGATTCCTGTCATCCCTGTTGCAGAGTCGTGTCCCCAATAAACAGGTGTCGTGAGGCACAGGGCCCTGTGTCTGTCTGCCTACCTATGTCCTGCTCCTCTCTTTGGGCCCTTCTGTCAGGAAATAGTCACCTCTTCATACATTTAGTTATCACCCAAAGAGTTTGATAAGAAATGCAGAATATTGGGTTTCACCGCCAGGCTTCAATGCAGCAGCTCTGATGGGGTCCAAGAATTAGCATTTAACAAATAGCCAATCAGGTTCTCACACCCTGTGGCTTGAGGGTCTCATTTGGAGAACTGCTGGACTGTGCTGGATCCCAGTTTGTCTGTGACCAGTTCAGCCCCAAGGAGCAGGTGCAGTGTGGGAGAAGGAGCTTCAGAGAGTGTCTGGAGCCTCTGGGAGCCACTGTGGAGGAGACACATTCTCCCGGCTCACACACAGTCAGCTCTGGGCCTGGGAAGGGTACAGGGGACCTTCCAGTCTTGGTTTTATTTTCTGTGTTCTAGTTAAGGGCTGGTTGAGGGAAAGTGCTCAAGTTATTTATCACCTTAATCCAGAGGACTACTCTAGCTCCTTGGAGGCAAAGTGTGAGTAAATACATTTAATATAACAATAGTATTATAATAACAGTAATTACATATATAAAGTCTACAGTTCCCTGTTGCACCCTCCTATTATAGTTTGCATAGCTTCATTTCTTGTGACACCTCAGAATGGAGTCACCGGGAACTCCAGTTGACCTGGCACAGATGATTCTTCTCAGGGAAAGTCAAGGGGTGAGAAGAGAGGAGAACATGGGCTGCCAGGGAGGGCTGGCATGGGAGTGATGTCCTGGATACAGTGGCCCAGGATGGGAAAGCACTGGAAGAGGGATAACTTCCCCACCTCCAGGGTATGAAGGCAAGCAATGTGGCTGCTCTGGCTCCTGCAGGAGAAGGCACCAAGCTAGGGGGACTAGAGATACTGGTGGCAGGGCAATACTCTGGTCCTTAGACCTCCTCTGTGTCCAGGAAGCAGAGGGAAGAAATTCAGTGATCGCCCAGTGCTCCATTATGCCCCACTGCCATCCCAGCCCAAAGTGTGCTGAGAGGAGAAGCTGCAGGCAAGTTCTGGATCTTCTCTAGAAGCCAGGAGAGAAGAGGGAGATGAGTTGGAAGAGGGAAGAAGCAGACTCCCGAGTAGCTGGGGACAGGAAGGAAGGTACATGCAAGACGGAAGGAGTGTTGGATGTGGTAGAAATTGGGGATGCTGACTCACCCAGGTCACAGAGGTGTGGTGGGGTCACTCAGGGCTCGAGCATGGCTCTGGGGGGAGAGAAACTACAGTGAATTTAGGGACATATTTCTTGTCTTTCTCTCACTTTCTTTCCCTCCATCCCTCCCCACAAGCCTGTCAATTCATCTCTCTTTCCTACCCAAAGTCCTTGAATTTTGCTATTTACTTTTATTTTTTTAGAGACAGGTGCTCACTGTTGCCCAGGTTGGAGTACAGTCGCACAAATGTGGCTCGCTGAAGTCTCAACCTCCTGGGCTCAAGAGATCCTCCTGCTTCAGCCTCCTGAGTAGCTGGGACTATAGGTGCGCACCCCTCAAAAGTTCAGCTAATTAAAACTTTTTTTCCTTTTTTTGTAGAGATTGGGTCTCACTATGTTGCCCAGGCTGGTCTTGAACTCCTAGGCTCAAGTGATCCTCTCAGCTGAGCCTCTGAAAGTCTGGGATTACAGGTATGAGCCACCTCACCTGGCCTGAGTTTTGCCATTTTAACCCAAGTTCAAGCCAGGCCACTGGCATTCTCCCCTTTCCATCCACCCCAGCACTATACTCCTTATTTAAGATTCCTTTTAACCTGTGACCTTGATGCCTCTTAGCCAGGTCCCGGGGAGAGGAGAAAGATAGACAAGATAATAAATCCAGTCTGTAGCCTCAGCTAGGAGCACAGGTTCACAGTTTTCCCCCAACCCCTCTGGGGTTGAAAGATCAGAAAATCCCACCCAGAAAGCAGCCAAAGAGATCACCTCGTTCCCAGCCTCATTGTAGGAACTTACCTGCCGGGATAGCCCTAAGATCCCTCGACTGGCCAGGGTGGGAGTGCTGCTCCCAGGGTGGGGGGGTTGCAGGCTGGGGCTGTTTCTTGGTCCTGGGGACACATCTCCAGAAGAGTCAAGTGTTTCTGGGGCTGAAGGGGAAGCTAGGGTGAGAGCAGAGTATAGAATCCCTCCAGATTACCTTAAGCAACCAAGCTGCTCCATCAGGGAAGAAAAAGCTCCATAGCAACAGGAAGCTGTAAGTCACCATAGCGATCCAGTTGCAAGGGAACCCCCTACCAAGAGGCAGGAAATTGTCAGCAGCATCATTAGAGCAACCAGGGAAGAAGCGACAGGAAACTATAAGGATTGCCGTGGTGAACCAAGAGGGTACAACAGGAAGCTGAGGCAGTTTCCATAGAAACCCAAGGAGAGCTAGAGAGAGAGGTACAGAGGAAGTGCTTCTTAGCAACAGGCTGTTGTAAGCATCACCCTAGCAACCAGACGGAAGGTTCTTTTAGCAGTGGGGAAGCTGTACATAGTTGTCATGGCAACTGGGCTACTTGGCTAGAAAAAGGAATTGCTCAGCAGCAAGCAGCCTGAACATCGCCACCATGACCGAGCTTTTGGGAGCCACCCCTTGAGAGGTGCCTCACCCAGGGAAATTTGCTTGACGTCCAGATCCCAGGCCTCCTCCTCGACGCGGGCAGGCAGGGAGCAGGCTCCCGGCGAAAGGCCGGGAAGGGAGGGGCCGGCATGCTCAAAGGATGACACGGCCACGGAGGCCCGGGTGCGGGCGGCTGCAGAAAGTGGGGAGTGGGGGGTGGCGTGCTGGTGTGGGAAAGCCCTCTTGGCTCCCTGGAATGACCCTCAGTCTCACAGAGGGCCTCCCAGCCAGTCCCACTGATTTGGGAACGAGATGCCCTTCCTGACTTTCCACCACACCTCCCCTTTGTATCCTCATTGTCAAGGTCTTCACTCCTGGGGGCCACCCCCCAGCACCCTGGCCCTCACCTCTTCCAGTGAGCAGGGCACTCAGCGTCCGCTCCCCAAGGGCTTTGATGTCCAGGAAGGGTTTATTCCCAATGCCCATGGACACCATCTGCTGCACTCGGAGCTCTGGGGAATAGGGACACTTGTTACCAACTTCTTCCTGCCCTTCTCTCTAGCCCTAGCACGTCATGGTTTACTTTTTTGGTTTGTTTTTGTTTTTGTTTTGCTCCTTTCCAACCCTCATTCCTCCCTTTCATTCCTCTCGTGTCTCTTTTTACTCCTCCTGTTGACTATCACAACATGGATGGCAATGATGGTGTGACTTCCTCCTTAGATATCTGGCTCTTCTCTCCAGTATGTTGCATCCTGCCCATTCGGCATCCCAGCTGCCTGATTTCTACTCTGCATCTTGGGTATTAAGAGCCAAAAAAAAAAAAAGGCAAAACAAAACAAAAAAACCTCACATTTTTACATACTTTTACAGTTTACAAGGGGCTTCCATATATTTCACCTTACTTAATCATCCCTATTACACTAAGATGAAGACATTACTATTTCATTTTTCAGATGAGCAGAATGAAGTTCAGAAAATTAAAACCAAGGTAAAACCCAGCAAAAAGTAAAAAATAAAAACAAAACTAACAAAAAACAAAACTAGTCCAGGTCACACAGCAAGTAGCAGCAGTTCTTAAATCTAAGTGAGTGGTTTCTCACTTTCTTTTTCCAGCCATTTGCTTTATTAAAAAAATTTTTTTTTAATCCTTTAAAGACAGAGTCTTGCTCTGTCACTCAGGCTAAAGTGCAGTGGCACCATCATAGCTCATTGTAGCCTTGAACATTTGGGCTCAAGTGATCCTCCTACCTCACCCCTCAAATAGCTAGGACTATAGGTGCACACCACCATGCCCAGTTAATTTTAAACTTTTTTGTAGAAACGGGGTCTCACTATGTCCCCAGGCTGGTCTTGAACACCTGGCCTCAAGCAATCCTCCCACTTGGTCTCTCAAAATGCACTGGGATTACAGGCGTGAGTCACTGCACCTGACCCCTACTTGCTCTTGCTTCCCTGAAAGTTGCTAGCTTTCTCTTTCTTTTTGGTATATCTTAGGCTTATTTCTACCTCAGTAATTTCTCTCAAGCCAAATCTTGAATCTTTGAAGCCATTCTTTCTTCATCCTATAAACTGTTTTCCCAAGCAGTCCCCATACTCTCCAGAAAACTTCCTGTTATAACCCTGACTCCAAGCACCCTGTTCCTCAGCTCTGCCCAGTACCCTTGTTGTGGGCTGCCTGTCTCCACAGCAGCTGGGCAATAGAACTTGTCCACTTGAGTTTGATCTCTGGTGAGGTTGCCTGCAGAGTATATGCCTCTCGTGCACGCCGCCGCCGAAACCACAACTCGAAGCAGAGTCCGCTGTCCCCGATGTTTTCTGTCAGCCCCATGTCAGCAGTCTGAGGAAGAGCAGAGGGCAGTGGGTGAAGACAGAGCAAGTCCTGGCTGGGTGGCGCCACATGGCAAGCACTGGGCTTAGCCTGGCATCTGATAGATGTTCAGTAAACGTTTGCTCAACACCTATCATGTGCCAAGTGCTCTACATTTACTCTTCACAACCACCATAATTTACAGAAGGGGAAATGAGGCCAGAAACATGAAGCAACTTGCACAAAGGCTTCTCATAGCTTATTAGAGCTGGAAGTGGACCCAGGCCTTTTCCTCTATGCTACACTCATGCAGGGGGTACGAAGTCTAGAAACCCTTAGAATCCACTCCACACTGCCTGATCCAGGACCATAGGTTGCTATAAATGCTTATCTGGATATCAAGGCTGTTTCCCTAAAGCAAGGCCTGCCTCTTCTTGGATTCTTTAGTCAAAGTATAGCGTGCTTCCTCCTCATGCCCTAGGAACCAACCCTAATTCCAAAGGCATGTGTGTCCTTTGTGGGAAAGTTCCTCTTCCAGTCTGGTTTGGAATGCCTCCTAAGGCTTCTGCATGAATGATTAGGAAAACCTCATGAGGTAGACCAATGACAGAGACTTCCAACACCCCCTGACACCCTAACTTGATGGTCGATTACAAGCCAAAGCCTATTCTAGATGATGTAGATTCTCAACCTGTGTTGGGGTTGAATTTCCAGAACATCCTGAGTTCTCAAGAAGAGAATGACTTCCTGTCACCTCCAGCACTCACTCCAGGAATTGTACCTTAAAGGCCTGCTTGTAAACAAACATCTCTGACCCTCCTTCAGGGCCCTTGAGCTTGCTGAACAGGAGGAGATGCTCAAACAGAAAGACATGGCGAAGGCACTTCTTTCGGCCACAGATGACAGTGAAGGGGTCTCGATGCAACAGCTGTCCCTGCTCCTTCAGATCTATCTGGAGAAAGGAAAAGCAAAAGTGGTTGGCCCAGGGACCCTTTGTTTGTATTTTACAGGGAGCAAAAACAGATTTATAGGGCAAGGGGCCTAACGCACTGGTTCTCAGGCAGGGTCAGGAAGTCCGGGAAGCCCTCAGCCTAGAGTCCATCCACTGGTCACCATGCACAGCACACCCAGCTGAGCAGCACAGCCCTGTTTCTGAAGATGGCAAGGTGCACTGCATAGTAAGGTTTATAGCCACCTGTGGGGAAGCCTTTGCATGCTGGGGATCCAGGAAGAGAATCAGCAAAGAACTGAAAGGGAAATAGGTCTATTCCAGAGGAGGATATAGGATTCCAACATGTTTTGGAACCTCAGGGCTGGAAAAAGACTAGGTAGACGAGATAAAGTATGTGCTGGGTGTTGAGGTGCAGGAGTAAGTATAGGGTAGGTGGGGAAAGATAGCAATTAGGAAAGGAACGGGAGAGTACAAGGCAGATGTAGGAACGTGGGATGTTGGGAGGACATAGCTTCTTTATTTACAAAGGAGGAAAGTGAGGCCCAGTGAAGTTCAGTGACTCAATCAAGGCCACCCAGCTGGTTAGAAATTAAAGCCTGGGGCCCTCTGACCTGGAGCCTGGTTCTCCTGTCACCAACCTACATGGCTTCTGAGGCCAGGGCTAGGCCGTTTGAGCAGCAGTGACTGGAGCCAGGGCCTCACCTCACAGCCACGCACCGCCTCCACAGCCAGCAGGTCTCTGCCACGGGCCTCTTGTTCCCGGAGCAGCTGTACAGCAGCCCCAAGGGCCTGGCGCTCAGAACTCAGCTCAGGCCCAGCTTCCCTCAGGAGCTCCTCCAGGAGCCGCCCATACCGAGCCAACTGTTCCAGAGGCTGTTGCAGGGCTCGGGGCAGGTAAGGTCCAGCCTCCATGGAGCCCTAGGTTGAGGAGGACACAGACAGGGATGAGGGGAGGGCTGGAGCCTCTAGGGGCCAAGCTCAGGGGTTGGGGGGTAGGTGGGTGATACCCTAGGCTTTTGGGTATAGATGAAGCCCAGATGCTCCCTAAAGTAAGGCAAAACCTGTCCACCTGGAAAGAAAGCAGGTGGGGGCCTGCAGGCCAGCAATCATCGTCTATATCTTGAAGGGAAATGGAACAAGAATCAAAATAGTAATCTCCTGTACTCTCTGGCTTTGAACTTTTTTTTTTTTTTCTGAGATGGCGTCTTGCTCTGTCGCCCAGGCTGAGTGCAGTGGTGCGATCTCGGCTCACTGCAAGCTCTGCCTCCCAGGTTCACGCCATTCTCCTGCCTCAGCCTCCTGAGTAGCTGGGACTACAGGTGCCCGCCACCACGCCTGGCTAATTTTTTTTTTTTTTGTATTTCTAGTAGAGACAGGGTTTCCCTATGGTGGCCAGGATGGTCTTGATCTCCTGACCTCATGATCCACCTGCCTCGGCCTCCCAAAGTGCTGGGATTACAGGCGTGAGCCAACATGCCGGGCCACTGGCTTTGAACTTTTAAAGTCACTTGTGGCCGGGTGCAGTGGCTCAAGCCTGTAATCCCAGCACTTTGGGAGGCTGAGACGGGCGGATCACAAGGTCAGGAGATCGAGACCATCCTGGCTAACCCGGTGAAACCCCGTCTCTACTAAAAAATACAAAAAACTAGCTGGGCAAGGTGGCGGGCGCCTGTAATCCCAGCTACTCGGGAGGCTGAGGCAGGAGAATGGCGTGAACCCGGGAGGCGGAGCTTGCAGTGAGCTGAGATCTGGCCACTGCACTCCAGCCTGGGCGACAGAGCGAGACTCCATCTCAAAAAAAAAAAAAAAAAAGTCACTTGTATGTCTTTTGATGTGAGCTCTTCTGCTGCTCAGATCCTCCCTGTGAACTGGCTATAGTGACTATTGCCCCCATTTACCAGATGTGGAAATGGAGGCCCAGACGAATCAGGAGTCCTGCCCGGTCCCTCAGGTGGACTGGATAAGAACCTGGCCTCACCAGTCCAGTGCTTGTCCCACCCTCGGCAATTCTAGGAGATGATTGGTAGGTGATGTTCCTGGGCACATCCAGGAAAGCTTTTTTTCCCTGTGGGATTTTTGGGGTGGGTTTTTAGGTCTTCCTGGCCCCTCTACTTTTCTTCTGAAGATTGGAGAAAAAGTTACCTTGCTTGAGGGACTGAGCACAGCCAGACCATTCTCCAGTTTGTGTCGGTGCTTCACGTACTGTGCATAAAGGCTGAACTGGTCCCCCTGTGCCAGTAAAGAACAGATAAGGTGTCTCCAGTGAGGTCCCTGCAGACAAACCTCTCTCTTCCCCCTTGCCATCCTCTCTGTAGCCCAAATGAGGGATGGGTCACCAGGGAGCACTCTGCCTGCCAGGGAGGGAAGGGCTCCCTGTGGAGAGAGCACAGTCCAGACAGCCCTTGACAGCAGGGACGCAGAGGCTGAGTAGAGGCAGAGGTGCCTACAGAACAGGGCTGGGCCCCAGTGGCATGGACCATACATGGGAGGAGAGGGCCATGGGTACTGAGAAAGAGGAACAGATGGATGGAGCTGGAACAGAGAAGAGAGAGCACTTGGAAGAAGCTGAGGGGATCACTCACATGGCGAAGGAAGCAGGCCCCAATGCGTAGGGGGTGGGTGGCGCAGCCCTGAAGCTCCCGCAGAAAGTGTGTCCGGTGGAAGCTGCGAAGCCTTTCCCGGACACTCAGGGCAGCAGCCCAAGTGCCCCGAAGCTCAGGAGTCAGCTCAGGCCCAGGGGGTGGCACTGGCTCACTCAAGGTGGCCACGTAATCTTGTTCACAGGCAATCAGCTCAGACATCAGACGCTGCTGGGCACTGCAGGCACAACAGGAGTGGCGGAGGAGGTGTGGGAGGGAGCCACTACCCCCAACAATGTCACCTTCTTTTCCTACTGGGCAGTTGGGTCTGCCTCTTGGGCACCAGTTGGGCTGGGATCTCACCTGATGCTTCGCTTGCGCTCCATCCTGGGGGTGCCTACTCCCCAGGGTCCGTCTGGCCCCCCAGCCCGGCCCAGCAGCACGTGTTCCCGCGGTGAGCATGTCCTGTCTACCACCTCAGTGCTGGTGACCTCCAGGCCTCGAATCAGCACAGCCCTTGGGGGCCTGCCCTCTGCTTCTGGAGCCAGCTCAGGGCCTTCCTCCTCATAGTCCTCTCCACATGGGGCCAAGGAGCAATGGGATGGGGCTGCCCGTGGCCCAGGGCTGCTGGGGAGCAGCAAGGAGCTGAGGCTGGGTGAGGGGCTGTGGGGGCCCCACTGAGCCCCTCCACTGCTGGCACTGTCTGCCCGCCGTCGTCGGTAGCCCCGTGGGCTCGCCTCCTCTCCCAGGTGTTGCTGAATCCTCCTCTCCAGCTCTTGGCAGCGGGCCCGGCAGCGGCCCCATTCTCGCAGGGCTGCTGGGTTGCCCAGGTCCAGGGCCAGGGCCCGCATCTCCTGGAAGGTGCCGGCACTGGGCTCTGGGGCCCGCCGCAGGGCCAGTGCAGCCAGCACAGCCTCCCGACCCGGCCCAGCTCCTGCCAGTCGAGCAAAGCCCTCATCCACCCATTCATGTGCCTACAAAATCAAAGGGGTTGGGGATGGGAGAGAAAGGGTAAGGGCCTGTGTTGCTCACAAAGGATGCCCAACGACAGCCCTTGTCCTCTTGCCTGTGGCTTCCCAATGCCCATCACTCTCCCCGTTTTCTCACTGTTCCAGCATCACTGCCTAACCATGTCACTTGGAGTTGGTATGGAGATAGAAGAGCCTAAATAAAAGAATAACCAGTACTCATATGGCGTTTATGAGTGGCAGGCTCTGGGCTAACGGCTTTTATATATTGCCTCATGTAATCCCCACAGCAGCCCTGTGAGGTAGATCTATGGAGGCACAGTCAGGTTTAGTATCTTGTCCCAGGTCATTCAGCAAGCAGGTGGCAGAGCTAAGAGTCAAAACCAAGGAGATGGGGGCCTCCCTTTTAACAACTTGATTAGCCTCTCCAGGCAGAAAGGAAGTAAAGAAATGGAAATGGGGGGAACAGAAGGAAAAGGCTCTGCATGTACCTGCTGGAAGAAGCGCTGTAGCCGCAGGGCCCGATGGAGGCCACTCTCAACCTGCTCCAGCCGCTGTTCAAAGATATCCAGCACCTTCTGGGAGGTGGCATTCTCCTCCAGAGCCAGGGCCTCCCGTGCCTGGGCCAGGCGCTCCTGGAGAAGGGAGGCTGCTCTCAGACCTGGTCCTCACTCCTAGGTAGTCTCCCCCTGCCTCCTCTCACCTGCCCTCCTGCCCTTTCTCACCTGGACCTCAGCGCTGAAAGCCCGGAATCGCAGCTCTGTCTCCTGCAGGGCAGACAAGGTGTCCCCGGGCACAGCAAAGCTTGCCAGCTGCTCCTCCCCTGGGCCCGAGAGCCACTGCAACACCTGAGGCAGATGGGGTGGCAGAGTAGGGGGTCAGGGAGTGGAAAGGCAAGGAAGGGCTGAGATCCAGCATCAGCCCCACCACACCAATCTGTAGAACCTTGAGTGAACTATTGCATCTCATCTGCAATGTGGGAATGACAACAGTGAATGGTAACAGTTTCCACAAGGGTCAAGTGAAAAACCGAGTAAGAAATCTTCAGTAAGGTGCCAGATGAGTGGGAAGCTGGGCTGGCGGAAAGTACTGAGGGAGGTGGGTCAAAGTTCCAGAGCTATGCCCGAGTGTGAAGTACATCAAACTGGGGTGAACCAAAGTCAGGATGAGGGTCATATGGATGACTGACGGCTTTCACTAAGCCTTGGCAGCTGGTGGGCAAGGGTCGCAGGGACCAAGCCTGGAGAAACAACACAGAAGGGGTGTGTGTGTATGTGTGTGTGTGTTTGTGTGTGTGTGTCCAGCTTTAATTGCCTATTATGGGGCTATACAAACTCTCATGCTGGTTCTGAGATATTTGACCAAAAAGTGATGATAATATTTTCCTCTGAAGAAAGGCTGGAAGCTGGGGGTGGGACAGCCTGAGGATGAGAAGTCTGAGACTGTTCCTAATAGCCAGTGCCAACAACAACCACTTTTATAGTCCTTTGCTGAATTCATTTGATCTTTCTAACCACGTTGTGAGTTAATTGTTACTATCCCAATTCTACAGATGAGGACTTGGGAACTCAGAGAAGCTTCATGACTTGTCCAACATCTTACACATGGCAGAACTATAACTCAAGCTGAGCGCTTTAGATTCCAAATCTTGTTTTTAACCAGTTGGGGAAACAGCTAATAAGCAGGTAAGCAAACAGGAGATGCAACCCATCTCTAGGATATTGGCTTAGAGGAAGCCAATACGAAGAAATCCTAGGAAACAGAAAGTCTCGGCTCCCGCTTTAGCACTCGCCCTGAGATGACCTTTCCCCTGATGCCCACCTGCAGGTCCATAAAGTGTCCACTCACCATGCTCGGGGCTAAGGAGGAACAATCAGATTTCAAAGCTCCCTCTACCTTACATGGTAGGGTGGAGAGCAAATCCCTATGGGGCTTTTAACCCCAGGAGAGAAGAATCAAGGTTCAGAGAAGCCAGCCTTATTCCTGAATCTTCCCCACAAAGAAGCCTGTAGTTCCTCTTAGGTGCTTTCAATGCTCTCTCCTTCCAAGGTGGAGGGAGGTGGTACCTTTCCGACCTCAGGTCTGAGGGATGATATCACATAAGGAGTTAAGGGTGCATGTGTGGCAGTGTAACTAATGAGCTGGTATCAATAGACTTTTATTATTTTTCAGCTAAGAAGGTAGGCACTCCAGAGTTGATCAGCTCTTTTCAGAAGCCCCTAGGGCAGCTGAGCATCTCTCACAATCTCTCAGCATCTTCGATCAAGCATTAACAGTCGGGAAGGGGAGACCTGGCTTTTCTTTACTGGTGCTACGACGCTCCCACCCTCTTGTTGAATCTCACACTGACCAACAAAGGTGAGGAGAGAGGGAGGGGTGTTCAACCAAGCCAGGCTAGAAGAACACCATCAACTATAAGTACCAACGGGAAAGGTGCTGGAGGCCATACTCCCAGGCTGAGTAAGAGGGACATAGGAGTCCTGGCTCACCTGCTGGAGTCGCCGCAGGCACTGCCGCTGCTCTTGATGCTGCACGTGCAGGTTGGAGAGGCGCACGAGCTGGTGAATGGCCTCGTCCACTTCCTGATACAATGTAGCTGGGCCTTGGCCCTCTAGTCTGGGGAAGGAGCAGGAAAGAATGAATCATTTCCTTTGTTGAGCCCCTCAATTCTGTCCTCCCGTCCCTCCGAGGGATGCAAACATGAGAAGTTGCATAGCAGCGTGGATCAAAAGCATGGGCTGAACCCTGACTGCTTTGGTTTGAATCCTGACTCTTTACTGATCGATGTTGGCCAAGACAGTTGACATTTCTGATCCTCCAAATCCTCATTTGTAATAGTAAATGGCACACAAGGATGTTGTGAGGGTTATGAGATAGTAAGTGTAAAAGCATGCTATCTTGCCCAGATATGTGCACAGTAAGAATGGTCTGGCAGCTAAGGTTTGTTGGCAGCCTTCGGCTGTGTCTCCACCTCCCACTTCCACCTGCCCCCGCACACCCATCCCTCGTACTTGCTGCTGTGAGTGGAGCGCAGCCTCATCAGGATGGCCCCCCCATCCCTCTGCAGTGCCGTCAGCCGGGGATCTGCCAGCACCTTCTGCAGGGGCTTGGGCATTCCCACTGCCTCCTGGGGATAGGGAGCAGTTGCCAGTTGGGGTTCCACCAGAGAGTCTCCACCCCAGCCCCATCCCAATCCCATCCCCCCACTGTCCCATCTCATTTCATACCTCTTCCTCTGGCTCTGCTGCTCCCTCCAGCTCCTCAATGGCCTGCCGTACCGAGCCCAGCACACCTTGGCACAGGCGGCATAGCCTTACCACTTCCTGAAACCCACACGCAGGGATGGAGTTGAGGATTAGAGTTTAAGAAGGAACTTAAGCCCTAGGGTTAGGGTGAGGTAGCCCCAGAGACTTTTATGGAGGCAATGCTGAATTCAGTTCCTGACTTTGTTGCTACCTAATTGTATGATGTTGGGCAGGTCCAGAAACCTTCCTGAACTTCAGTTCCTCAACTGTAAAGTCAGGATAAGAAAGGCTTCTGTGATTTTTAAGGAGATGATGCCAGTTTAGCAACTAGCATGGGCCTGGCACATTGTACAGCTTGGTAACTGTGACCTTCCTTTCGCTCTGTCTTCAGTGGGGCTTCACCCTGTCAAACCCCCTCTCTCTGCCTATTCATGTCAATTTCCCCTTTGACACTAAAGGCGAAACTTAGAGACCATCTACAGACCCCTCTTTCATACTCAGCTCAGATCATGTTTATTTCTCTCTTCTTGAATACTCACAACACTTATATTCATAGAATTACATGAGATAAGTGCTGGAAGGACCTTTAGCAATTATACTGTGATTGTTACACTTCGCTGACGAGGATCCGGAGGCCTGGATGTTGGTGCAAGGAGTGGGTACAGAAAGGGCACTATTTCTGCAAGTGAGGTAAAGTAATTTGGAACAAGAATCAGCCTTTTGACTCAGTGCTTTCCAGAAACCCAATGACACTATCTTGCACTCTTCTCTACTTGTTTCATGATTTAACTCCCACCAAAAATCATGTACTACTTAATGTCATATTAATAATTTATTTGGCTGGGCACGGTAGCTCATGCCTGTAATCTTAGCACTTTGAGAGGCTGAGACGGGTGGATCACTGGAGTCCAGGAGTTTGAGACCAGCCTGGGCAACATGGCAAAACCCCATCTCTACAAAAAAACAAAAAACAAAAAACAAAAATTAGCTGGGTGTGGCGGCACATGCCTGTAGCCACAGCTACTCAAGAGGTTGATGTGGGAGGATCGCTTGAGTCCGGAGGGTGGAGGATACAGTAAGCTGTGATCGAACCACTGCACTCCAGCCTGGGTGACAGAGCGAGACTGTCTAAAAATAGTAATTGTAATAATAATTTAACATACTCCTCCCATCTCCCCAGTAGACCATGGCGCAGTGCACATGTTTTCCTCATGATTTGGGAGCCATAAATACTTGTTGAATTGAATGGAATGGAAACCACTTTTTTGCAACCCCATGGTATGTCCTGGACCTGGCATCTCTCCTAGAATGTCTTCAGCAGGGTCATTCCTGGCTCCCAGCATGCTAGGTGTTAGAGGGGAAGCTTACCTGGTGTATCTCTACCCAGTGACTGGGAGAGGGGTCCCTGTGACCTCCTAACTCCCACTGCAGCTCCTCTGGCTTGGTCACTCTTTTCAGATCATTCTCTGACAGCACCTCAGCACCCTGTAGAGGGTAAGGCAGGGGTTTCTTCCTGGGCACCCAAGGACTCAGAAACCAGCCTGGGGCTCCAGCCAGCTTCTTCTCCTTTCTCCACTACTGATGGGAAACTAGGTAGGAATGAAGGGCTCAAACCTGAAATCCACAGAGTTCACTTGGAAGGTCATCATGAGTGAGAATCAGCAGCCGCTGAACGAGGGGAGGATCTCCTGAGTCCTAAGGACAGAGAAGAATAACCCTAAACTGGGCAATTGGGTGTCCTGGACTGGCCACTAGTGAAGAGTGAGGATCCAGGGGAACTGCCTGTTCAAGGGGTGGTTACCTGAAGTTGGCTCAAGACAGTAATGAGTGCTGGAGGCAGTGAAGGTGCCTGGCGAAGGTCCAGCAGGACGGAGAGCCCCAGTGTCTGTAGATCAGGCCTGTGGGAGCAGGAAGAGTCAAGAAGGCTGCTGTGTGTGTGTCTTGGGGGATAGCAGATAAAGCAAGGCAGACATACAGGGTCTGTATTTAGTTAATAGTCCTCAGGAGATATTAGTTGTTGGTACATTTGGGAAGAAATGGGCAAAGGGCCAAATTCTGGGATGGGTGTACAGGAGGAAGTGGCCTAGCAGTTGGGAGTCTATATTCATATGGCTACTAGGCCAAGGAATTAAGGTCTGGAAAGTTCAGAATTCTGTTCTGGAATGGCATGCATTCAATGTCAGCCTGTAGTATGGTGCCTAATAGGTACTCAGTGCTCAATAGATATTTGTTGAATAAGTGAACCAATGTCCTGATGATCTTGGTAGTGTTGGAAGACAGTGAAAGTCAACAGTGTTGCTTTTGAGGATCAATGAAGATATGAAGCTGGAGGTCAGGGTCAGTAAGGCCAAAGGTCAATGACTTGAAATCTGAAGGTTGAAGAAGGAGGTGTCCTTAGAGATCAGAAGGTCAGTGTCCTGAGAAGAAGGAGGTGAGGGTCCTCATGAACCAGGAGGTTAGTGTCCAGGGTGCCAGGACTGGGCCTCGGTTACCTGAGCAGTGAGTGGAGGTAATGAAGAGTTGTGTTCAGCATGTCTCGGGAGGGTGGGGGCTCCTCAGGAGGGCACGGTGGGGTAATGGTCAGCAGAGCTCGCCCACTCTGGTCCACCCCTCCTGAAGACACAAAACGGCCAGGCTGTCCTGGCTGGGAGCAGTCCAAGCCTACCTCCCTTCCACCCTGCCTCCCCCAGTCCCCAAGCCCACCCAATTGCTTCTCTTTCCCAATTCTTTTTCCCTTCATCCACTGATGCCCACTGACCTGTCAGGATGAGGAATCCAGATGCCATCAAGTCCCAAGCCACATCAGGGTCATCAGAGATGGAGACTGGAACGGCCTCTTCTGGAATGCTGTCTGCTTTTCCTTCCTGCACAGTCTCCAGCAGAGGTGTTGGAGTGTCAGACAGGAGGCCTTCTGGGCCTGCGTGTCCTGCACAGACACAGACAGAAAAATGGGACTGAAGTTAAGATGGTTCTGGTTGTTCTGCTCCCAGCGTAACCCTGCTCCTCATCCTGCCCCCTCCCATAGGCCCGACCTGCTTTGGCCCTCGCCCCATGAACCTCACTCAGTGTCATCTCACCTGCCATACACACCAGGCCTGGCCCCTCCTGCTCTCTCTCTCTGGAACCCTCTTCTGTAGGCCCACAGGCTTCAGAGGGCTGAGGCTCTTTCTCGCCTGCTGTTTTGAACTCTTTGGTCTCAGAGTCTGGCTTTCCTGAGCCTTCATATTCCTCCTTAACCAGGCTGCATTCTGGAAGCTTGTGCTCACTTGGTGAGGGCAGATTGCCAAGGGCTTCTTGGTGACTGGCCTCTTCCTTATCCCCAGGGCTCAGTGGGGCACTGTCCCCTCCTCGGCTAAGAGCCCCTCTGCCTGCAGCTCGCTTCTTTCTTCTGTTTCCTTTGCCTGTTCTCCGAGGGGTACCAGGTGGTCCTTCAGCTCCCTGGCCTCCTCCTCCTCCTCTAAGCTCCCCTGGCCTCAGGGGGCAAGATTCAGAGGCTTCTCCCACGGCCTCTGCTGGGGGCTCAGATACCTCTAAGACTACTGCCTCTGGGACAGCCTCAGCTCCTGGGGGAGACTCAGGGGAGGCTCCAGTGCTGCTCCCCTCGCCGGGTGGGCGTGCTCCATCCTGGTCCCGAGGTCCCAGGCCCTTCTGATGCACCCACGCCCGGTGTCTCCGGTGGCGGCCCTTCCCTCCAGCACCCTTGCGAGTGGGTACTGTCCGTACTCTGGAGGGGCCCGGGGAGCCTTCAGCATCTGCTGGGCTCCCCCTCACAGGCAGCGTCACCTCCAACAGCTCCACGTACTCGCCCTCAGGTCCTTCCACAGGGGCATTGTGCCCATCCCCAGGACTCCGGGTACCCAGCGCCTCCTCAGGAAGTGGAGGGCTGGGAAGCCCTGGAGGTCCAGAGGGCAGTTCTGGGGGCAGCGTACTTGGCTGATGTCCGACCATGAGGCCCTCTTTGTGCACAAATCGTGGGCAGATGAGCTCAGCCCAGGGCAGCCGCTGAATCCCTGAGGGCGCAGACAGTAGGCAGGTACTGAGGCGACCTGTTGGCCGGTCCTTGTTGATGCCTTGTAGCCACTCAGGTGTGAATAGGTAGGCACAGGCCTCATTGGGCACAGGAATCTCCTGCACCCGCCCACCCCCAGGGGCCAGACACTTGAGTGCTAGTCGTGGTGCTTGGGCAGCTGAGGGTACCACTTGCAGATAGAAGTCTCCTGGGCGCAGCAGTTGCCAGGGTAGGGCTGCTAGCTGCACCACCACCTGTTCATGCAGGCAGAGCGGCCACCCCTCATGGAAGAAGAGGAATCCACTGTATTGGGCCTGGGGAGAGAGATGGGAGGCTGCACTCAGGCCTCTGCTGAAGAAGCCAGCAGAAGAGGGCAGTTAGAATGGGCCCACCCTAGGCAGGACCAGCCCTATGCCTGGAAGATTACACTCTCAGGAGAGCAGGAGGGGAGATTTGGGGTATTCAGGTGGCAGAGAGGAAGGGATTGGGACTGATCGGTCTCCTAGTGGTAGGAAGCTTCTCTAGGAAGCTAGTTCTGTGTGTGGGAGGGTAAGAACTGAATCGTTACCAAGACATGGTCAGCAGATGCCATTGTCTTGGAGAAGTTAAAGACTCTTAGAAGTCTTTATATCTGTAGAAATGAAAGATCTCTGTTGACTCATGTACGGGGGAGTTAGTATCTTGAGAAATTCATATGAGGGGGTGAAAATGTCTGGAATTGGGTCTGGAGAGTTAGGGTCTTTGGGGTCAGTGTTTCTCAGGGGTCAAGATGAATTTGGGGAAGATGAATGTGTGCGTATGTGTGTTAGTGTCTGAATGGTCAGTGCCTGTGAAGGTCAAAGTTTGTGGGAGGTCAGAGAATGAGGCTTAAGTGACTCTGGAGAGATCAGTATTAGGGGAGGCTGCATCTCCAGGTTAGTGGGGGAATTAGTCAGCCTGGCTAGTCTGTAGAGTGTGGCAGTGGATCTTGGGGAAGACAGAATAGTGATGCACGGCCACTCACACAGGCTTCCTGCTGGACCTTGGCAAGCAGGTGCTTGGCTGGTACCAGGAAGTCCAGCGTGTACCTCAGTGCGTCCTCCCGATAAGTCCTCTCCACCACCTGGAACACCTGGCCCAACAGGGTAGGGGCTGTTGCCTCAAAGGGTGGATACAGGGCGGCGAGAGTGCTCTGCACACAGTCCTCCACTGGCTCAGGCTCCTGTAGAAATAGGACCAGGCTACAGATCCCTAGAGATCACCCAATCGCGGCTCCTTGGGAGCTGCACTGGTCTGGGGGTGGCTGTGTTCTCCAAGGCCCCCATTGTACAATGTGTGCAAAAAGTGGGCACTCAGGAAATGCTGGCTGATGAGCCTAGAATGGGAGTGGGGCTGGGCCAGAGAATACAAGCGTGGCAGGGCACTCAACACTCAAGTTCTGGGACCTTGGCTTTGGAGATCCAGAGAGAATTTGTTGTGAATGCCCCCAATCAGGGCTGTTCCAGGTGCTCTTGAGTTGGGGTGACTGCATAGACCTTTCCTAGGAGAGAAAAGACAGGCTTTTGGGCTATCAGGGGACTGAGTTTATGACTGAGAACTTGAGGGGGTGAGCCATCCTGCAAATCCCTTCTCATAAGACACACCATCCAGAGCTCCCCATCTTAAGTGGAGGTGCCTCACGCACAGTTATGTCCTAGAGATGATCATTTGGTGAAAGAGAGATGGTCATTTGGTGAAAAGAGGAGGATGGAAAGACTGTCTGTGACTGTCTTGGGTCTTTCTAGCATCCCTCTTCCCTCTCCCACAGTGGCTCTGAAGCAATCACCCAATCCTAGAGCATGTGGGATTGGGTTACAAAGAACCGGGTGGGGGCAGTTGAAAGAGAAAAAAGTCACAAAAGGAACTTGTGGGAAGGGAGGAGGAGGCCTTGATGGTATGCATTAGAGCTGGTCTTTTCTGATTCCAGTGGGTCCTCTCTCTGCCAACCTCCACTAGGAGTCTCAAAAAGACTCAGCCCTGCTTCATCCAGACTCCCCTCCCTAAGTGAGTCAATGAGACATCTTCCTCCATCCCGTAACCTAAACAACCACCCCTTGGGCTATTCCTTTGCAAACTTCTCTTTCAAGACAGTCTTTGAAGTTCCTTTTACTGGAATTTTTTTTTTTCTTTTTTTTTGCAGTAAATGGGGAAGGGGAGACTCGACGCGGCCTTTACCTTGGTCTCTACCTGCCCTACCCCCAAGTCTTGCCTTTGCCATAAAACAAAATAGCTTATTTTTCTCTGTGCTCCTCCATCCAGTTTGTCTCGACCGTCTGGGAAGTTAGGGCAACCACTCCAGAGACCGGGACATTCAGCGCGTCAGCGTGCAGACCCGGCCCCAAGGTGTGTGGGCGAGCAGACAGACCCCCAGTGTTCCGGGACCAGGCGGACGCAGTGCGCGTGGGTGGGGGGAAGGTGGAGATGGGCGGGGGTGACGCAGAGTGGGGCCGTCTGCTCCAAGGCCGGGAGTGCGGAGCTAGGGCTTGAGCAGCGAGGCAGCTGCAACCCATTAGGGGCGGTGAGCTCATGGCTGAGCGAGAGTCTCAGCCACAGGAAACAGCAGCGGCAGGAGGGGAGGAGGGGTCTGGGGAGGGAGGCGGCGGGCGGGAGCACGGAGACCCAGCCTCCTGCCGGCGGGGACCAGAGAGGAGACCAGAGAGACTGAGTCAGCTCTCCCTGGCCCAGTTCCTCTTTCTTTTTCCTCCAGCCTCCCTGCCAGAGGGTGCCCTTCCCTCCGTAGAGGGGCGGCCCCAGTAGTGCCCCTGCCCCTCCTCCACTCCCTGCGGTGAGCTCCCCCTGGCAAGGCCTCTCCCCCTCCTTCACTCTGCAGGGAGAGCCCCCTTGGCCATGCCCCCGCCCTCTTTGCAGTGGGCGCTCTCTCTGGCAGTGCCCACTCTTCCAGCGATGCTTCAGAGTACTCTGCAGTGAAAGTTCCCAGGGCAGTGTTCACTCCTGTTGGTGTGGGCTTCTCCTTAGCGGTACCCTCCAGCTTCCAGCGCCCCAAGTTGCTTCTGCCAGGGTTCCCTACTCCCTGCAGGGCGCTCCGGCTCATGTTCCCCACTCTCTGCAGCAGGAGTGCCCTGAGGCAGCCCTTCAGTTCCCTGCAGCAAGAGCTCTGGGGCACTTCCCTCCCCCACAAACCCCGGTCGGCTCTGGCAGTGTCACGCCCCCTGGTTCTGTGAGCTCCCCCCAAGCACCCCCAACTACCCTGAGGCAGCCCTTTTTCTCTGCGGGAATTTCCCTCTTTGGCCATGCCCCTGGCCCCGTCCCAGCCACAGCTGTGGCCGGTCCCCCAGGGCCGGATGGGTGGGCCTGCCTCACCGGGTTGGGGACAGGGATGGAAAATGGTGGTTCCATGCAGGTCAGTTCTCATGACCCGAGGGGCCGGGCCTCTTCCAGGGACGCTGCAGGACCAACCCGCAGGGGTCTCCCGCGGGTAAGGAGCTGGGACCAGGAGGGGGAGGGAAGCTCCAGGAAAGAAAGGCACAGGTCAGGACAGAGGAGGGCGGGGAGCGGGGAGGTGTGTGGATTAGGGGAGAGACCCAAGGGAGGATGGGGAAGGAGGCGGAGGAGAGGAGGAAGAAAGGGTGAGGGCAATACTCGGTGGGGACAGAGCTAAACAGTCGGGCAGACGGACAGACAAATCGAAGAAGGGGGGAAGGGAGGGAGGAGAGTCCCAGGAGCGCTGAACCGTCCGAGGCAGGATCGGGAGGCACCAGGCTAGGGACTGGGGGCCCGGAGCGGGCTGCGCGAAGGCCGAGGGGACCCAGGGGGCTGCGACGCTGGACTCACCATGGCTCGGCGCCGGGCCGCGTCCGACGCTTGGTCGGGCGGGCGGGGCCGGGCGCGCCACCGCCTCCCTCCCGCCGCTCGTGTCTCGCCGGGTCTGGCTAAGGGACAGCTCCGGCCGCGGTGGCGGCTCGGCCCGCTCCGGCTTCCAGGCCGCGGGGCCCCGCCAGGGAGGGCCGAGACGGCCGCCCCTCCCCGCCCCGCCCTTCAGCGCCCGCCCCCGCCTCCGCGCTGGACCCCTTGCCGGGACTCTATCTCCCGCGTCGAGACTCTCTGCCGCTCCCCGGGCGTCCCCAGCCTATCCGTCCCGTTCACCGGCAACCTTCTTTCTTCTCCGCCCCGCCCTCCAGCGGGTAACCCCGACCCTGACCCTCGGAGGCCCGCCCAGCCGAGGATGCCCCTCTTTTCCCGCCACCGCCTCGCTCCCCGCGGGATCAGTTTAGCCTCGGCAAGGGATGCTCCAAAGGCTGGGGCGTGCGTGAATTCCCTTGTGCCGCCCCTTCCCAGAACTGGGGTCTTCCTGCGGCTGGAAAGCCTCCCCGCTCTAACTCGCCCGGGACCCTCTTCTCTCATCGGTTTCTAGACTTTGGCAGGACCCGGGGCTCAGATGAGACCTTCAGGCCCCTGCCTGCCTAGCAGAGAGCGGAAGGCCGGGAATCAGGGGATTCCCCAATGCCCCTGGGGCTTGCCCGCCCTCCTCCTTTCCCTCCATCTCCTCGGGCCTGGAGCCTCTGGGCTGACAATGGGCTCCTCTGTGTTGCCCGGGGAAGGCGGGAGTGTGCGGGAGTCAGGGAGCAGCGAAGGCTTGGGATAGGGGGCGGACATCGTGGCCGAGGGGGCAGGGCTCCCGGATCGGGATGCTCATGGAGGGCGTGCATTTCGCCGGACATTTTCTGAGTTCTCTCCTCCGTGGCCCTTCCCTTCCGCATCCCTATCTGTCTATTCGGCTAGAAGAGGGAAGGCACCAGGCCTCCAGTTCGAGAATTCGGTACTGGATGCCAGCCCCTTCCTTCTGTTGGGGTGATTATAGCGTCCCGCAGGGCCGCTAGGGCTCGTGGCCGTGGAGATGGTATTTGGCGCAGGGGACAAAGTGGGGTGGGCTAGTTACGAAAGTTCCAGCCTCACTTGCTCATCAAACCCCGAGCGTCCCCCGACCGTGTCTGAATGGGAAAGGAAGGCCGGATGGAGGTCTCCCAGGAGCCCGGGGAGAGGCACGGGCACGGCGGGGAGATGCCCTGCCTGGCCTCTGAGCAGGCACTGGGAAGCCCCGCAGCTCCGTGAGCCCTTCTAAAGGGTGGACGGAAAGGAGAGGAGAGGAGATCAGAAAGCCCAAGAGTCCCCGGAGGGGCGTGAACGCGTGTGCCCCTGCAGCTGGAGGGCGATGATGAGAAAACGTCCGGCCTCGCCTGCAGTTCCTCGGAGGCCGGAGCCTCTGGGCAGTTGTTGGAACAGCGGGAGGGGAGGCGGGGGAGCCGCCAAGGTGACTTGCTCTTCTCTCACCTCCTCTGGACGCTAACCTCCACCTTTTTCTCCGCTCCGCTGAGCCTGGAAAAGGACAGAGCAAATGTTCATCCTTAGAGGCAAGAAGAGGCCTCTGCTCCAAAGCGTCAAAAAAGAACCTATGGCAACAAGCCCCAGTAACCATCTTCCCCCAACAGGTAGAGCTGTGGAGTTGGAGCTCTTTCTAACACTGGGTTATGGGACCCTCGAGTCACCGACACTCTCCAGAGCTAGGAGAGTGAGATTTTGCTACCCCCTGGTGTCCATTCCGTAAATACTGCCCAGTGGCCTGTTACAGGGGCCAGTGTTTAAAAAACCTTCTTCACTTGTCTCAAACCCAGCTCATTCATTCTCGGTGTTGAGAGTGTCTGAACCTTTCCTCACCAGGCCTTCCATTCCTCATATTGTTTAGGGAACCCTTGGTAGGGTCGAAGGTTGTCCATTGGACTCCAAGGCTCACTACTCTTAGGTAGTGGAATATAAATTAATCTGGCTATGGGGGTCTACAAACTCCTGGGAAAAGGGAGTGGATCATTTTTTTTTTTTTCATGGAGAAAAAGGGGAGCCACTGAAAGTTTTTGAGCTGGTGGGGTAAGGAAGTTTGGATACAGAATCAGGGATGCAGTTACCCCTTCTTTCCAGGAGTTTTCAAATCTGTGCTAAATTACAATGGTTTATTTTAAGTAAGTGACATGTGGTCACAGCAGTTAAATACCACTTTCTTCCAAGAATGCAGGCTCTTACCTAAAAGTGTGTGTCTGTACGCCTGTGTGTACACAACAGAGTATGTGTTGATACATATATTTTTAGTGGGGGAATATGAATGGGGTAGTTATAATGGAGAAATTAGAGGCTGGGAATAGACCAGACTTAGAAGCCTTCTCATTCACAAACAGTTCTTACCATACTTCACCCATTAAAGATTCTTTGGGGCTTCTCGAACTCCTGTTTTACAGATGACATTGTAACTTATTGAAGTTAATAAACTGTCTCTAAGCTACACAGTAAATGAGAAACCAGGATGTGAACCCAGGGTGTCTGATGCCAGAGCCTTCACTCTCAACTAATAAGTTATAGGGTCTCATCTAAGCTGTCAAAGTTCATAAAAAAAGAGTTTTAAACACCACATCACTGTTTCTGCCACCTAACCATCACGCTAAAAAAAAAAAAAATGTTAAATTTGTTTTCGTAGAAGCCAGCACTGAGATTCTAAAAGTGACAGATATGTCCCTGTGGGTCAGAGAAAAAAAACAACAACAACAACAAAACTACCTTTTTCTAGACTTATTTTAGAGTAATAGTTGAAATAATTCTGAAGACATTTCCAGTATGGTTCTTATGGAAAACTAGTGCTATCCTAATACAGGGGAAGGTGGAAAAACATGTGTGTCTGTACTGTTTATTGCGTGGTTTATGTGCACCAAGAGCTATGACTGCCGTCTTATAGAGGGTTGGGGTTTTAGGCTGCTCACTATTTCTCCCTTGGAGGGTAGCAGTGACTAGGGCTCTGCCTCGGCCCCATGCCTCAAGTTAGGGGGAATTAATGAAGGACCACAAAGGGAATTTTAGGGATGGGCTTGAGAGCACATGTTCTTGTTAGCGCTGCCTTCCAAGGAGTCTGGGGATCAATATCCTAGTTATTTTAGGGTAAAAAAATTTGTGTGATATGTAAATATATATCGGTTCTATTTATGGTTTAGTTTTTCATTGGTTTTGGTTTTATTTGATTGGGTAATATTTTTTCAAAAATTTACAACTTGTCTTCTCTGAACTAAGTGTCATCAAGGTCCATACCACCACCATCTTGCCAGTGCTAGCACATTAGTTTCCCCACTTGTCTGCCTGTTCCACTTTTACCTTCTGATAAGCCATTCTCTGCACCATAGCCAGAGTAATCTTAGAAATTCAAATAAATCAGGCCGGGTGTGGTGGCTCATGCCTGTAATCCCAGCACTTTGGGAGGCCAAGGCAGGTGGATCGAGAGGTCAAGAGATCAAGACCATCCTAGCCAACATGGTGAAACCCCAACATGGTGAAACCCTGTCTCCACTAAAAACATAAAAATTAGCTGGGCGTGGTGGCACGCGCCTGTAATCCCAGCTACTTCGGAGGCTGAGGCAGGAGAATCGCTTGAACCCGGGAGGTGGAGGTTGCAGTGAGCTGAGACTGTACCACTGCATTCCAGCCTGGCGACAGAGGGAGATTCTGTCTCCAAAAAAAAAAAAAAAAAAAAAAAAAAAAAAAAATCCAAGTAGATCTCATCAACCCCGTCTAATGGCTTTCCATTTGCGTCATGATTCCTTTTCTACCTATCTCTCCTTTTCTTTTCTGCTTTATCTTTTGCCATAGCCCTGTGGTGACATTATGCTAAGCCACTGGTGAACCTGCAGCCACAGTGGCCTTTCAGTTTTTCAGGGTTTTTGTTGTTGCTGCTGCTGCTGTTGTTGTTATTGAGACAAAGTCTTGCTCTGTCGCCCAGGCTGGAGTGCAGCGTCACAATCTAGACTCACTGTAACCTCTACCTCCCAGGTACAGGTGGTTCTGGTGCCTCAGCTTCCTGACTAGCTGGGCTTACAAGCGCGCGCCACCACACCCAGCTAATTTTTGTATTTTTAGTAAAGACGGGGTTTCAACATGTTGGCCAGGGTGGTCTCAAACTCCTGACTTCAGGTGATTCGCCCACCTTGGCCTCCCTAAGTGTTGGGATTACAGGCATGAGCCACTGCATTTGGCCCCTTCTTTCAGTTCTTTAAACATGCCTTACTTATTCCTAAAGATGTTTAATTTGGCACCTTTTTGCTCTTCTTTCCTTCTGTCTGGAGCTTTCTTTTCATTCGTGATTCCAGCGGCTGGCTGTCATCCTTCAGGTCTTACTTAAGTGTTATAGTCTCAAAGGTCTTCTTCCCTGGCCACCTGGTCTAAAGTGGTCTCTCACCCATCGTCTTTCTGAATAACGTTATTCTGTTTTATTTTCTTCACAGCATTTATCTCTATTGATTATGTATTTATTTTCTATCATAATAGACTCACCTTTCTACCACATATAATTTAAAAATAAACTTTATGAAATGAAGAACCTTGTCTATTTTGTCATTGCTTTTTCAGCTAGTGTCTGACCAGTTCCCAAAAGAGATCATAAATCCAAGTGAAGGCTGAAAGGAGGGCAGAAAGCTCCACAGAACAGGAATGGTGTTGGGGACAAGAGAGAGGTGGGAATGGCAAGGCAGAGGCTTGGGGTCAGCTGCTTTCCTGTCTTCCTGGAATCGGTCCTCATGAGGTTTTTTTGTTTGTTTGTCTGTTGGAGGATATTTGCAAGTAGAAAGCATGCAGGGCAGAATTTTTTTGATGTTGTTTTTTGTTTGTTTTTGAGACGGAGTTTTGCTTATCACCCAGGCTGGAGTGCAGTGGTGCAATCTCAGCTCACTGCAACCTCTGCCTCCTGGGTTCAAACGATTCTCCTGCCTCGGCCTCCCAAGTAGCTGAGATTACAGGCACCCACCACCAGGCCTGGCTAATTTTTGTATTTTTAGTAGAAATGGGATTTTAGCATGTTGCTCAGGCTGGTCTCGAACTCCTGATCTCTGCCTCCCAAAGTGCTGGGATTACAGATTACAGGCGTGAGCCACCATGCCTGGCCGTGGGATAGAATTTAAGACAGATGTGGACCATCATCTGGCTCAGATGTAGGTTCATTGTAGTAGAACAGT